CTCTCTCGTCTTAATATACAATAAAGAGGTTATATAGAGACTCATCGACACACATTTCCCTTATCACTTCTTCATATATTCGAGACATATCACAAACACCAAAGGTAAACAAAGAGCGGTCAGAATATTCAGACCTTTAGAAATGATCACACCTCCACCACAAGAAAGAAAATATCTTTTAGAAGAAACGCATATCAAACATGCACATTGTGGAACACAAGCTCTACTCAATGAACTTCATAACGATAGCTTGCACTGGAATAACATCAAGAAAGATGCAACAAATACAGTCAAACAATGCTCTGCCTGTCAAAATACAATATTGCCAAACATGGATTCCATCTATTACGATCTATATATGCAGAAAATTCCATGGATCACGTTTGCATTGATACTGCTGGTCCTATGCCTGCTACATCATATAATGGCAATAATTACATCTTGATCTTAGTTGACGTCTTCACTAAATATACAATAGTCAAATCTATGCCTGACAAGTCTGCATTATCGGTAACTATGTGTCTAATAGATATCTTTGCTAACTATGATCCACCAAAAATAATACAACATGACAACGGATCAGAATATGTCAATGAACTAGTACAACTATTCCTACAGCACTCGGGAGTTGAAGACCGCTGTGTTAGTCCTTACCATCCACAAGCCAACGGCTTAGCAGAGAGATGGGTACAGAAAATAAAGAGTACTGTCTACAAGCGACTAGAAGGCAATGACAAAGACTGGGATTTCTACATTCCATCCACAATGCATGCTATAAACAATACTGCTACCAAGATCCGTGCTTCTAGACCATTCTCCCTCATGTTTGCGAGACGAGCTAATGAATTTCTCAACTATCAAAAGACACTTGATAAAACCACAGAAGTATCTACTATCACTAAGCGTGATAAATACCTCAACGACTACCATAACATCGTCATACCAGCTATACGAGAGCGAATACAACTCACTCAACAAGCTGAACAGGGTAAATTTGGGCAGTCAAACAGAATCATTAAAGAAATACCCACTGGTGCTGAAGTCATGATTATAAATGTCAATCGAACATCTACATCTCAACCCAGATATATCGGACACTACACTGTCAAAAGAAAAACCAAAGGTGGAAGTTATATATTAGAAGGCAAAACAGGAGCTCTATATCCTAGAAATGTACCTCCTAATCAAATTAAAGTCATCTCGGAAAACGTCATTACTCCAGCTGAAGGTATATACGAAGTGGAAGCTATCCTTGATCACCAAGGTGCTCCTGGTAACTATCTGTATCGTGTACGTCGGAAAGGTTATTCTGAGAAAGATGATACTTGGGAACCAGCTGAACATTCTGACAATCAATCCATCATAAACAATTACTGGAGACGTCGACATCAGCAACCAGCTGAAACAGAAACAAATAACAGAAAGAGAAAGAACCAGCCTAAAAAACGTAGTCAAACAAAACGCTAAAATTCCGCATTTTATCGGTCTTTCATTCAAAAGTCTCCACTCTCATGACCACAGCGAAGCAGCAAGTTCTTAGCAACTTTTATACAAAATCTTCACCTTAACACCATGATTATTTTTTTTCTATACCTAACAGATATGTAGGATAGTTTGTTTTTTATCATGGCAACATAGTTCGACACTATCTTTATCAGTTGACTCAAAGCTCAAAACATAGTTTCAACCTGGGAGGGGACAATGTCATATCCGAACATAATTCACGCTTATTGAAACTAAGGAAATTACCCTTACAATAACACTTACTAGCACATAACATCATTTCTTGATTCAGATGTCACAGTAGTAAAACCAGGAAACCCTTAATTAAGCTACTTTACCTCAGAACAACTGTTAGACCCACGTCAACTATAATCCCACAGTAAACTTGAATAGTATAAATAAGAACTACTCTTTATCAAATAAAAGAATTAATTCAGTCTTACTGTATTATATTGTCTATTACTACTTTTATATTATCATATCTTCTTAATAAAGAATCTAATTTGCAAGTTATCGACTTAATAGCCTTTTTTCAATAACACTAAAGCTGAATACAACAGATACTACACTTCTTTTCAAATTTGAATATAAATATAAATAAATAAGACGACAGAGAGGACGATCGCATCAAAAAAACAACTTATAAATGCAAATGATGCTCAGTAATGTGGGCTACAAGGACTGACTTGTCATTAACATAGTGTATACAACAGGGGCATGGCAGCTAAAGACCGCGCTTAAAGCTGAGCTTTGAATTTTGTCTGTTATTTGCCGTGCATCCTTGTTTTCTTTGTTCAAGAATGTGCCAAACTGCTACCTGTATAAATGATGCATAATTTTCTATATCGTAACTCGAATTCTCTTTTACTGTCATTGAAGAACTAATGAAATTAAGAAAGTATAAAATTGTACTTTATTAAATATAGTGGCTATTATGTATTATTACACCCGAGTTATAGCAAAAGTATGTCGATGAGACTCTTGAGTGAGCAAAAAAGACACTGACAACATTAGAATGCGGATATTGAGGACAAAGAAAAAGGGCAGGTCACTTTTACTCATTTTTTATTCGCCGACTTCACCACCAACGCGGTTTGTTCTTTTCCCTTCTATAAATGAACGTTACTGAGCAAACAAAGAAATCAGCTGAAATATATGCCAAGGCCAACGATGCCTTCTTTGATGATGACTACGATGAAGCATTGATTTTGTTTAGTCAATTGGTTGATTTAGAGCCTGAAAATGCTGAATTCATATTAAAACGGTATTAGGTCAATCAAAGACAAAGAACAGTTACTTACACCTGTAACAGTTGTTCTGTTTATCAAAAAGTAAACAAGCTAGGCTTGGCTCTCAAAGATGCTGAAAAGGCCCTCGATACTTTAAAGCATGGCTCACGTAGTCTTATGGCTAGAGCTCATTTGCAAAAAGGGTAACAACCTAAGAATTTATCAGTTATTATGCAAAATAATATCAATATTAAAACCTTTATAGTATTATCTTGCATCGCCTTGAACGATATAAAGAAGCTGAGGAACACTTGAACCAATCAAAAGAATTGAATCCAAATGAAAAGACACTTACTACTTGGTTACGAAAGAATGCAGATAAACTAAAGGAGGTCAATCAATCATCTTCCAACGCTACTATTAATACAATTGCTCCTGTACCAGTGGAATCTACAAATAAGCCTTTGAATACAACAGCAAGGTAATAGCTATATCATTTTAATAACACATTGGTTAAGTTGTGATATAGACATGAATGGTTTCAAAATGACAACTTTGTTACTATTGAAGTATTTATCAAAAAAGTTATGGCACAAGATGTGTCTGTTGGACTCTACGAAGACTCTGTAAGATTAGGATAAAGTTATGTTGATGGAGTACTAAAGTAGTTCATATAGCTTTCTTTGGCTGCAAAGTTGCCCAGTGGATCGACATATTCAATTGAACTTGATCCACTTGCACACAAAATTATACCAGAAGAATCCGCGTACAAGGTTCTTTCTACAAAGATCGAAGTCAAATTGAAAAAGAAAGTTCCAGGTATCATGTGGGGTGCATTAGAAGGTGAAAATGATTTAGGAAGTAAGTCCTTTTATAACCTTCAAATCAAATTATTCTAATACTTGCACAATAGCGCCTGCATCTGCTGTTACCAACAACAAAAAACAGACAAAAGACTGGAATAAGTTAATAAAAGAAGTGGATGATGAAAAACTGGAAGGAGAAGCTGCTGTCAATGCATTATTTCAACAAATATACCGTGACGCGGATCCAGACGCCAGACGAGCCATGATGAAGAGTTTTATTGAAAGTAATGGTACCTGTCTCTCTACTAACTGGTCAGAGGTTGGATCTAAAAAGGTTGAAACAAAGCCCCCTGAGGGTACGATGGTAAAGAAGGTAAGCTCAATATACTTCTCTTTTTTTTTTTTTTGCATTAAACCTTATTTGTTTTCTAGTTTGATGAGTAATTCATATACCGAGCTTTATGAGGGAGAAAAGCAACCTGTCATGAAAAATAGTAAAAAAAGGAAATTCGTACAAATAAAAAAGTATTTTTTTCCCTTGACTCTTTTCTTTTTTGCGTGTAAGAAGATGACTTATTCTATTCATAAGATTCTCATTGCTAATCGAGGCGAGATTGCTTGCAGAGTGATTCGGACATGTAAACGCTTGGGAATATCTACTGTCGCTGTTTACTCTGATAGGTAAACAATAATAAATGATTCATGCATAATTAAGGTGCTTATCTTTTTTATATTCTAAAGCGATCAGAATGCTCCATTTGTTAGATTGGCCGATGAAGCTTATCATATTGGCCATTCAATTGCTTCAGAATCATACCTCAATGCAGAAAAAATAATACAAGTGGCTAAACGATCTGGAGCAGATGCGATTCACCCTGGATACGGCTTTCTGTCAGAGAACCCCGATTTTGCAGATATGGTAAATCAAGCGGGTATCAACTTTATTGGACCTAGAGCAGAATCGATTCGAACCATTGGTGATAAGATGGCTGCCAAAGTATTCATTAGGGAGCATCTAAGTTCTATCCCTCTGATTCCTGGCTATCACGGCCAAGACCAGTCTATTGAAAGACTGGAACAGGAAGCCAAAATGATAGGTTCGTCTTGATAACCAATATAGTAGTAATTCATTGAACTAATAAGCTGTTAGAATTCCCTGTGTTGTTGAAGGCTTCTGCTGGTGGAGGCGGTAAAGGCATGAGAACAGTTTATGACGCACACAAGTAAGCTTATGTTGTCATATTCAATGATCAAAAGACTCAAATTATATAAAAGGTTAAGGGAAGAAATTGAAACTGCCAAAGGTGAAGCGCTTCGAGCGTTTGGATCAGACACTTTATTAATAGAAAAGTACTTTACAAGCGTACATCACGTAGAGGTACTCAAGCTTTTCACACACTTGATGTCAATATTGATAAAAGTTATAGGTTCAAATCTTTGGAGACAAATATGGAAATGTGTATCATATTAATGAGCGTGATTGCTCAATTCAAAGAAGACATCAGAAAGTGGTGGAAGTAAGGAGCTGTGAGCTGATAAAGCTATGTTTTTTTTTTACTCATTTTTATAGGAAACCCCTTCTCCCGTTGTGGACACGGACCTCCGTCGAGCCATGACAGATGCTGCTGTCAACTTGGGATGCAAACTAGGCTATGTAGGAGCTGGCACAGTAGAATTTATTCTAGATCCCAAAGCCAGGCGCTTTTATTTCTTGGAACTGAATACACGGTTGCAGGTGGAACATCCTATTACGGAAGCTATTTCTGGTCTAGATCTTGTTGAACTGCAAATTCTTGTTGCCCAGGGAGCCAATTTAAAACACATGAGTGTACTGAACCAGATACCTTTCCATGGGCACGCCATAGAAGTGCGTTTATGTGCAGAGGATCCAGAAGACTTTAGCCCACGTACAGGAACTATCCTTAAATGGAGCCCCCCAACCGATATTGAAGGGGTACGCATAGACACAGGTGTACAGGATAGCTCAGAAATATCTATTTACTATGACTCCATGATTGCTAAAGTGATCGTACATGCTCCTACTCGTGCAGAGGCTATAAAACGCATGATTGCCGTCTTGAAGCGTACGGTAGTCGTGGGCATAACCACAAATCAAAAACTTTTGTTAAACATCATGCAGAACCCCTCTTTCCAAGCTGGTGTGTTTGACACAAATTTTATGCAGCAAGAAAAACTCTTTCTTCCATTTGATTTATATCGTGCTGAGCCTAGCATCATTGCCGCCCTATTGTTTGACTGGACAACACGTCAGAATAAGCAAATCTATCTTAAAAATATTCCTGCAGGATGGAGGAATGTGAAATGGCGTCCTCATCGTGTTCAATTCATTGTTCAGGACCAGCAAAAGGTTGACGTCTTGTATGAATACTTAGGATGCCGTAATGACAGACATGAATTCAAGGCTTTGGTACTAGACAAGGAATCAGAACAAGAACCAGAACTATCTCTTTCCATTGCTTTGGACAAGTCTGAGATCAGTAAAGAATATATTGGAGCAAAGGGCATCCAGGGATCTAAGGGTCTCTTACGATTTGAAATGAATAATGTCCAACAATGCTTTTACCTTGCGGAATGCTTCCAAGATATAAGCAAGTCAATTTTTGTTCATGACTTTCTTTATGGTTACCCAATTGAACTAACCAAGGTGGATCGATTGAAAAGCAAGATTACTGTTGCGGAAGATGACAAAGGTATGAAAGTATATAATCGATTCGGTAAACTAATCCTTAGTAGTAACACCTTATACTTCGTCCATGCCTTGTCGTATTCTTAAAATACTTGCACCTACTGGCACTGTCGTCAAGAAGAACACGCCTCTTCTCTCAATTGAGTCTATGAAAACTGAAGTCAAGATTCTCAGTCGTCATGATGGTATCGTCACTATGAAAGTGCAAGAGAATCAATTGGTAGATGCAAAGGTGCTCTTGTGTACTGTAGATGAAAAGCAATAAAGCCTTTTTATTTATTGATTTACAATTTAAGCCTGTGCTCCATAAATGTATGCAAATCCACAGAGTCGGTTGATAAGCTAGGATCTGAATATTGGTTGTTAGCTTTTATGTAAAATAGCACCTGTATATTTACCGTTAAGGAAGTCTTCATAGTCAATTGTCTCATCTTTGCCTAACAAAATATCCAAGTGTAGATTTGAAGAGGGCATTACAGGTACACGTTGACGCTATATGATATAAGTATAATTATTTAGATATAATGTAGCCTTTACCTTTTCAACAATGTTCCTTTCCATCATGAGCTTAATCGGAGCATGCATACCATATGCCTGACGTGCCAAGTTCAGTTTCAACTCCCATTGTGTCTCTTCCCACTACATAATAAAATTAAGTTGGCTTATTTTCTTTTAAAATGATATTTTACGTTGTTTAATCTATGTTCAAGAGGATGCTTTGGCATGACCTCATTCTTGATTGAACGAATACCAAAACGGAAAGCATCATGCCCACCATATTCTGCATGAGTTGTGTTTAACGTGCTCTTGGTAGTTGCATGGTATGTATCGGGAGCAATACGAAGTGACTAATCAATGAATAAATATGTGTTTTTTTCATTCAATTAGTTTTCAATTTACCATTTCTGTTTATTATTAGATTATATAAAGAAAAGAGAAAGCATACGTCTCTTGCTTGCGTGTCGTGGTCAGCAGAATTGCAGTCACACATGTTTTTGAACACAGATGTGATTGTTGTTGTTGCTATACGGTTAAACAGTCTTTTATTTACAGTTAAAGCCTCAAGTGGGCGCACGATAATAATAATACATCTTCTTCGTCTGAGGCAGGTCAAAAG